CGTTTAAGATTTTTAACTTGCCTTATCAACTGCAGCCATTTCCTCTTCACTTTCTCAGCACAGGGAAAGCAAAAGTAAAATGACAGTTGAATGTCACTTGCTTTTTTAAACGATCTATTTAAACAACATGGGACACAGCACTGCAGCATGGTAAAACTCGGCGAAAGCGATAGGTAGGTAGAGAGGACCCGGAAACAGTATTATCAGAGAGTGGTTATGTCACTTAACAACCAGATAGGATTGCTGGCCTCTGAGGTCATATTAGGAAATTATGGTAGCAGCGTGGATCAGGACAGATCTTAAAGTACAAATGTAGGGTGCATTGACGTTCTAGTACTGTTCGGTTGACAGAAAATAAAATCTTCTTGGAGATTATTTTCCCTCTGTTAAACTTAATTGGCCTAATATGCATTTTAATCTAACATTACCATTGTACAAACTTTTTCAGCCTGCTGTCTAGTCCCTGTATCAAGAGGTCAATTAATCAAAATGAGAATGATAATGTCATGCATATTGCAATTCCATATTATCCTCAAGTCTAGGTCACCTTCCTTCATTTATATAGCGCTTTTAACAATATGGGGCTTGGCTATGATGCAACAGAGTAACAATTCCGAGTAGTAACATGAACATTTTAATTTATTTACAGGAGGAGCATTGAACAAATGAAAAGTAATGTGGAAAACCTTGGTCCTGAATCTGAGCTGGATTTGGCCACCCACCGCTTTGGGCCTACAGCAGCTGAGGTTTTCTTTTCCTTTTTAGAGGACTCGATGAAATGAACAGTACCCATGTTCCTGCACACATGTTCTAATGTGGCTGTTATCAGCTTATTTCTAAACAAAAAAGAAAAGTTCATTACTTTATTTGATATTTGACAAGGCTTTTATTTTCATAGTCAATTGTTTTATAGTAACTTTTACTAGATTACTGGAGGACTCATAGTGGAGAACAAGTACAATGTTTGATAAAATGGCAAAACTGCATTTGAATAAAAAGTACTTTTCAAACCTTATTTGTATTATCTTTTTGGACCACTGATTGCTTTGTGTTTTCTTCTTGATTTAATAGGAAAACTTGATGTGACATCTGTCCTCGTCTCTGAGGCAGTGTTTCTGTCAGTCTTTCTTTTTCGGTTTGCAAATAGTGGGCGTATTTTACGTGACTTGTCCTCATCACAAAGTCGCACAAATCTTTTAAAGTTTATATTTTCTTCCTTTGTTTGCACTTCTAGTTCATTGACTTTATGGGCAATGTCCTCAGGAATTCTCTCCCAGGTCTGTAAAGTCTTCAATATGCTTTCCAGTTTCCTGATAGTTGTACTACGCCTATCTTCATCTGCAATTTCATTCTGTATAGGCTCCACTGAAATGTTAATTGCATGTTTTGATGTTGTCTCATTCATCTCATTTAAAAGTCCCTTTGCAAGTAGTAGACAAGCACATTTTTTATGATATGAGAAAGTACAGCAGTCACATAAATTCGTCACTATACATGGTTTTGATACTGCTCTTCCAAATAAGCTTTCAACCTCTAGTGTTTTTTGAGGCTTTGTAGAAATGCTATACTTATTCTTTTGTATCAAGTTGTTGGCATGGGCTTGCAGTTGTGTGTCCATATCTGGAAAGGTCTCACCATCCCCACAAGTGAGAAGACTTAATAAAATGAGATGCTTACATGTATGTCCCCTTGTACCAGCGAGACAATTGCAGAACTGCTCTGCAGGGCATACACAGTAAACTACATGTGGATTATTTTCAGATGGAACATTGTATACGTATGTTTCTGTTGAAGCTGCAGTAACTGCTGTGGCCCAACCATTGTCTAGCATCCTCTGAGCGGACTTCTTTATTTCTTCCATTTTACATTCCAGAGGGTTATGGACCCTCCCAGCAGACTGCAAATCCTGTATTATGTTAAAGTACGTGTCAGTCTTGTTTAGTAGCACATCAATCAAATGATCCAATCTACGATTCCGGATGCCACAGAGGAATTGGTATTTTAAACGGTGGAAGAAGCTATAAAGGAAATGAAAGCAGAGAGATCAGTATGTTGAATGAGGAACAGCAACAGGTTTGAAAAAATACAATGTACTCTTTAACAAATTAAAAAATACGCAAAACACCGTGCTAGCTTTCAGTTAGCCCACTAATAAATGAGGTGAACATGCATAAAAACGTATACCGTTCTATTAGATTGTTTGTTTCTGAGTCTCCATGCTTATAACATCTTCCGAAGTTAGACCACAGACGACCAATTGGCTCCCAGTGGTTCCTAAAGTACTTGCAGACATCTTTTAAGTTCTTAAACTGGCAGTGAAACATCTCAGCTTTTTTCTTGAATTCATGTTCCTGTAAAAATGGACAAGGAAAATGATGTTGTTTTATGTTATTAGTGTAAGAACTGAATTTATAGGTCATAAAGGTAATCCTCGACATAGACCTCAACCCTAGTGTGTGCAGTTAGTGTACTGAGAATGTCATGTTCTTGACTGATTATACTACAGCCATTTAGGCCTATATGAATGATAATAGAATAAACAAACATACTGATTCTATTTGCAGTAAATAAAACAATGATCCACCTCAAAGTATAGGCTGAAATAATTTATGTTTGTATATTATAACATAAAAAATGCAAGGGTACTTATGTAAACTTTTGAACGGGGTCATAATCATAAATTTAGCTATTGTTTTCTGTTGAGGACTTTATGTAAATATCTGTTAAGTGAAATATCTTATTCAGGACAGAACTAAAATAAAAAAATGTATGATCCTGTAATATAAGATACCCCATTCAATCTCGGAATTAAACTTCGTAGGTGGTAATATCGTGCACCTTGCACGAAAACTGGCCAAAAAGCTAACAGGATTTAATGGTCCAGAGGTCACAAATAAAGTGTGGCAAATCTTTTATACTATTTTTTTGGTTTTCTTGGATCTACGCTCTGCAAGAAGTTGTTTATTCATCTGTTCGCTTTTCCATTCTTTCTTTTTCCCTCTTATTCTGTTAAAATAATAACATTTTGTAGATACTGACCACACATTGCTTGCTACCATTGAGAAAAAAACAAAAACACTGCAAGCTATAATTGCTCTATAAAACAAATGAAAAGTAACACACCGTGGAACAGGATTTCAGCTCCGACATTAACTGCATGATGTGTGCTCTCGAATCTGCCTTTTCAGGTCCACTCACTCCAGATTCAGATCTTGACAGCCAACGAGTTACTGCCTGCGTGTAATAAATGGTGGGGAAATATAAAATGATGTATTTAAACTGGTGAGACCTTCAAATAGTCTAATGCATTTGTACACAATTGTTGCTGCCATCAATTGATCGCAATAATACTAGCCAGTTACAGTGAACTCGAACCACATTAAAAATGTAAATATGTTATTGCTTTAGCAATCCCATATGTTTATAATTCCAACAATACATTAAAATTATATGGCAAAAAAATACCAGTTTACAATATCAAGTAGCATTAACAGGCTGTTTTGTACAGCTACAAATAACTAGAAGTGGATGACACAAGAAGTCTTGCAGCTTTAAGTTACAAACGACTGTTTAAGATTTACAACAAAATGACCTTCATTTTTAGGCCATTCATATTATTCTCACTAAACCTTACATGTCATCTAGTAACCAAAAAATGTAACTGTTGTTTTTGATTGAAATTTTAGCACAACAATAATAGATTTATATTGCAAAATAAGCAAAAATCAAAGCAGTCTCCATTCAATCTTAACTTAGTACTTACTTGGGTTACATGGTACCAACAAAGGAGAACATGTGACTCGTTGAATACCTTACGGATAGCATTGATTTCAGCCTGGTCTTTATCAACCATAAAGCACCTAATGAAAATAAGGTAACACTTTACAATAAGGTTCATTAGTTAACATGGAGATAACACCTACTGTAGGCTAATCATAGAATGCAGTTAAGAAATCAATACAAGTTTGTTCTGGTTCATAGAAGAAAAAAAATTAAGTTGAATTCATAAATTGAATAATGAACCTAATATAAAGGCATGCATAAGAAGTTTAATTTTAAGGAACTGTGTACCAAAACGTTATGTAATAATATTCATTTAATTTGTTTACCGGTATATCTATTTGTATTACCTTGGAGCTACAGGAAATGTTGGTTTCAGCTTTTCCAGTGCCAGCTGAAGCATGGCCTGCTTTTCATTTCCCAAGATGATATAGGCAATGGGTATGCCATGACCATGACTGTCCCTGACAACTAATGTAAATAAAGGAAAGCCATACTGGTTGACGCCATGTGTTGCATCCATAAAAACAATATCTCTTCCATATTCTTGAAGGTTGTCTCTCATGGATGGTGTTTGTAGAACTATAACTAGATCTGTTTGTGGACTGTAAGGCTGATAAAAAATAACACTGTCTCTGAAAGCGCCCTCAAGAAGTTGTGTTGTACTATTGGCATCATCTTTGTGTTGCTGATTTTTTCGCATCATACATGTCCGAATATTTTCAATGTCTTTTGGGGTAACAAAATATGCTCGGTTGTTGAGATCAGTATGCCCTTGTTCCTTTGACCATTCGTGTGATTTTAAGAGAATTGTACCTGGCTTAACACCAAGAGATATTAAATCTTGAATATGCTTGACCAGCTCTTGACTAATTTTTTCTGAGTGACCCTCAGAAGAACTTGTTGGGTCATGTCCTGAATGAATCCTGTAAATCCTTTCAACTATAACAAGTTTGTTGAGCCAGTCTGTCCTCTTTTTAAAGGAAACATAGGCCTTACATCCTTTGGCCCTTCGACTTCGGGGTGTGCATGTTCCAGAGCGTTTACATGTAAACAAGAAATATCCATTTTTCTGATTTTGCAGACTTGCAGAATTCACACTCCTGAAGTTGGCATCTTTGGACGCATTTATGGTAGAGAGCCTTTCTTGAATAAATTCAAAAGCATCCAAATCCTTTTCTAAAACATGGACTGTTATATCGGTCTCTTTTTTGTTTCCTTTAAATCTCTCCTCTTTGTATACAGATGTCTTTATAAATTCCTCCATATTTGATGTTCAACCTAAAAAGAAAAGACACAAAAAATTAGGCTAAAAACATAAATAATGTAAAGACCTAAAAATCCATGATAATCTCATGAAAGTACTGTAAGCTATTTGTTTAAACATTGGAGTAAAACCAAGATGTTACGTACAAGTTAACATTCATATGATGGTCTGAGGACAACATCATGTAACAGAATAAATCAGTGATGACTTGAGGTTAACATATTAATATGATGGTCTGAGGACAACATCATGTAACAATAAATCAGTGATAACTTGAGGTTAACATATTAATATGATGGTCTGAGGACAACATCATGTAACAATAAATCAGTGATAACTTGAGGTTAACATATTAATATGATGGTCTGAGGACAACATCATGTAACAATAAATCAGTGATGACTTGAGGTTAACATATTAATATGATGGTCTGAGGACAACATCATGTAACAGAATAAATCAGTGATGACTTGAGGTTAACATATTAATATGATGGTCTGAGGACAACATCATGTAACAGAATAAATCAGTGATGACTTGAGGTTAACATATTAATATGATGGTCTGAGGACAACATCATGTAACAGAATAAATCAGTGATGACTTGAGGTCAACATATTAATATGATGGTCTGAGGACAACATCATGTAACAGAATAAATCAGTGATGACTTGAGGTTAACATATTAATATGATGGTCTGAGGACAACATCATGTAACAGAATAAATCAGTGATGACTTGAGGTTAACATATTAATATGATGGTCTGAGGACAACATCATGTAACAGAATAAATCAGAGACGACTTGAGGTTAACATATTAATATGATGGTCTGAGGACAACATCATGTAACAGAATAAATCAGAGATGACTTGAGGTTAACATATTAATATGATGGTCTGAGGACAACATCATGTAACAGAATAAATCAGTGATGACTTGAGGTTAACATATTAATATGATGGTCTGAGGACAACATCATGTAACAGAATAAATCAGAGATGACTTGAGGTTAACATATTAATATGATGGTCTGAGGACAACATCATGTAACAGAATAAATCAGTGATGACTTGAGGTCAACATATTAATATGATGGTCTGAGGACAACATCATGTAACAGAATAAATCAGAGACGACTTGAGGTTAACATATTAATATGATGGTCTGAGGACAACATCATGTAACAGAATAAATCAGTGATGACTTGAGGTTAACATATTAATATGATGGTCTGAGGACAACATCATGTAACAGAATAAATCAGTGATGACTTGAGGTTAACATATTAATATGATGGTCTGAGGACAACATCATGTAACAGAATAAATCAGTGATGACTTGAGGTTAACATATTAATATGATGGTCTAAGGACAACATCATTTAACAGAATAAATCAGTGATGACTTGAGGTTAACATATTAATATGATGGTCTGAGGACAACATCAGAAATAAGCTAATTCAAACGTTTCTCCCTGAGTCGTCTTTTTTTTTGTAGCTAGGCACACTATAAAAACTATACGTTAAACATCTAAACAGTATTTTCATCTTCTATTGTTTTTATTTTTTGAGCCAGAACGTCAGCGATGCTGATCAATTTTGCCTGGCAATTTTACTGTTAAGCACGTCAACATATGCGTTATAGCGTTATATTACTTCAATGGTGGAAAAATGCTAACGTTATTCAAAAAACAAATATGTTTAGTCATAGTAAAAGACTGCTGTTAATTAATAGGAGAATGTAAAAAGCCGTTGGTCTTACCTTGTAACTTGTGCACTTGTTGGCAGGGGTGTGTTTTTTTTTTTTTTTTTTTTTTTTAAATTTGGCGGACTCGATGGGGGGCACACGGTGATGACATCATAAACGTTGATTGGCTGAGGCAGTTGTTGTCCCAGGCTCATCATAAAGATATTGGTCTCAGGACAGCTCCCACTTGGCAAAATCAGGACGAGCGAATTTCATTGGCAGGAAGACATTCACCTCTCCGATTACAACACGAAACATCATCTTAAAACTTCTTAGAAGCTCTATAAAGAGATTATACTTGCACAAGTTATGTTATGGTCTGTCTCTGTGTGTTGAGGCATTCCTATACGGCCCTGTCTGGCCGCGTGAGCTGAGTCCTTTGTGTGTGAGGAAGCGTCACGTGGGCTGCTTGGCGCGCGTGTTGAGCAGAGGTTTAAAATCTTGGAGGTAACATTACCAAAGAAAATAGATCGGCTAAGTTCGCCTCCTTTCCTGGGAGGTGAACTTGGTAGGACACTTAAGAAAAAGACGAAACTTTTAGACGAAACAAAAAAACAAAAAGGGATTTCCCGAGGGGAAATCGAGTCAACGACTACATTGTTCAGCAGACGAGGAGACCAGCAGAGTAAGAGAGCGAGCGAAGGGGAGAAGCGTCATTTATCACTTTTGGAGAAATCCAGCCTCTTCCTGTTGGCTTGGCCAATTAGAGGGTTGGAAGTTTACAGGCGGGACTTTGGGTTTATGGCCCTTTGTCTCCAGAGAGAGACATCTGAAACCCTAATTTCGTCGGTTGTTTAAGAGAAGAATCTTCACAATTCTTATAATACTAATGTGTCACAAAGTTTAGCAAAATGTAATGTCAATTAACAAATGGGGAACGAAGATTGGAGTTTATCGAGACCAAACTTGCCACAAATGGATTTGGTTAAACATTAGTTGGCAAAGTTTGAAACATTATCCAATTAGAGTTGTCGAGAAACATAGACCAAACCACAGAAAGGCAACTCATGAAATAGGGAACTTAGATACATCGTTCATACAATTCTCAAGTGGATATATAATAGCATATTAGGGGTGGTTAATCGGTCTGATTTCCCGATTCGATTCGATTACGATTATTGAAGTCCCGATTCGATTACAGTCGATTTTCGATTATTAGCGATTCTCGATTAGCGATTATTGATTTTTAGCAATTCTCGATTAGCGATTATTGATTTTCCATTTCACAACAGTAAACGAAAATAGGGTGGTGATGGCGCAGTGGATTAGACACATGCCTTTGGTGTGAGAGACCTAGGTTCGAATCCACTGTGAGACACCAATGTGTCCCTGAGCAAGACACTTAACCCCTAGTTGCTCCAGAGGCGTGCGACCTCTGACATATATAGCAATTGTAAGTCGCTTTGGATAAAAGCGTCAGCAAAATGAATAAATGTAAAAATGTAAATGTAAATACACTACAAAGTGATTGCAGTATTTAAAAAAAAGTCAGCTGCTGAATTACTTAATTCTTTTATTGAGTAACAATAAAAGTTAAGTGTTCTGTAGAACACAAATAAATACATCACATTGTGTTGTGACTCAAGTTTAACTAAACAATAACAAATAAATTAAAGGCTTGTTCACTTTAGGAAGTAGATCAGAACCAACAACATACTGTAGTATGTAGTACAGAAGTATGTAATTTTCTTCTAGAAAGACAAGGTGTTGTTCAGGTGGAGGAACTGTACTGAAGAACACAGTGACAAAAACACACTAACTTGTGTAATCACACAACATGAGTAATCATGTTGTACTAAACCTTAAGAATCTGGTCATTCCAGAGCTATGAATGAGGAAGACCAGCTGGTCCACATGTTGTGGCGTGAGTGTGCTCCGTTGTGCTGACACGATGTCTCCCGCAGTGGAGAACACTCTCTCTGCAGCAACACTCGTACCTGGGATACATAAATATCGTTTGGCCAGTTTAGCTAGGAGAGGATACACATGATGGTTGGTGCGCCACCACTCAAGGGGGTCATCGGTGAGAGGAAGTGAAGGGGCCCCCAGATACATGCGAACCTCTTCCTCAGCCCTGGTGTGTGCCGACTTGGGCTCTGCTGTGGTGACAGCGACATTAAATGTTTGGCCCAGCAGTGCAGTCAGAGAAGATGGTCTTGAGGTAGAGGGCGTGGAAGGGCCATCTTCTTCATCCAGCTTCAGGGCTTCGTCGCAAACCTTCTGAACTGCATCATCCTCCTCACCGTCATCATGCCCCTCAGCCATGTCATCACCTTCCCCCTCAGGGACTTCAGCCTCTTGCCTCATCAACTAACACAGGGAAGCAGTGAAATAAGACAGAAAGCATACAAAGCACACAACTGATACAAAGCATTCCATTAATCAGATCATTAATTAATCATTCTCTAAAAAAAGTAGAATTATTAATATCAAAAGAGAGAATACCTCGAGGGATGATGCAGCCTCTGTAGTCACTCTGCTGTATGTCTCCACTTTTTCATCCTCTGAAAGGAATGGGAGAGCTTTAAAGCGAGGATCCAGGCAAGATGCTGTATGGAGTGTGTGCTTCTCTTTTGTATCTCTTCCTCAAATCTTCCCGGATAGCATGCTTGATTTCCCGGGTCATTGGATCATCCTCTGGTGCAGGGGTGAAGTCGGCCAGGAGCTGTGTGTGTAGTGGGGCGATGATTGAGAGAGTAGGCATGGTTTCCTCAGACATTGTGGTGGTGGCCAATTTCATGGGCTTGAGGGTCTTCACAAGGTGTTCAGCGCCGGACACGTCTCCCTCACTCAGTGTGCAGATGTCATGCACACCTTTCCTCATCTGTGATGATGGGAATTGAGAACAGGAAAAGTTAAAATAAATGAATTAACACTGTATGCTATAAGAGTTCTCCATTCACGCCAACACAACAACTCACAGTCATTTAGACTAAGTTTCAAACACATGCACCAGCGCCTCCTCAAGGCTGTTGTGTCAAATTGACAAACAAAACTAAAGAAATTTTCTGTATATATATTGTTTTTTAAGTTAGTTAGTTTTGTGTGTACACAATATCATATTTTTATTTTAAAGTCTAGTTTTTTTTTTTTTATTCGCTTGCTACTAGGTCTGATTAAATCTTAAATCCCAGACTTACTTGAGGGGAGAGGAGCGCAGCGCAGATGGCAGGCTGCTGTTCAAGGAACCGATCAACCATGTCAAAGCCACTATTCCACCTTGTTGGAGCATCTGTCTTCAGTTTGTGTTTAGGCAGTTCTGGTAAAATTAAAAAAGAAGAAGGAAAGCTAATTACTAGTAGCCTATAAGGAATTATATTTTTAAATAGCCTACTGGTAATTTAGAAACTAATAAAAAGCTTGCTTTGAATGCAATCGTTAAAATAGATTCACTTCTATTACAAAGGTAAATATTTTATTTTTTAAATTAATTTTAAGCCTTTTGCTTACCGAGTAGGGCCTGCTTTTGTTCCAGCACATGACTGGCTGTGGTGCTGCGGTGGAAGAAGGCGGTGATCCGTCTGACTCGACCCAACAGTCGGGCTACAGCGGGCAACTTCAGTGCTCGTTGGCAGGCGAGGTTTAGGGTGTGAGCGTAACAACGGACATGTAGAAAGTTGCCCAGCTCTGCAGCCACGTTCATATTTGAAGCGTTGTCTGTGACGAGAACCAGGTCGTGTGTCTCTATCCCCCACTCGTCCGCCGCAGCTTTGAGAAACTCGCACATATTAGCGCCCGTGTGGCTATCATCCATAGCTCTCGTCTGAAGCACGTATGAAATTAGCTTCCACTCACTGTTGACATGATGAGCTGTAACTGTCACATATGAGACGGTGGCTCTGGAGGTCCAGGCATCGCAAGTTATTGCTACCCTGGGAGCAGACTTGAGGGACATTTGCACTAAAGACTTTGTCTCCTTGTAAAGAATAGGAATCGACTTTTGTGTAAAAAAGCTCCGGGATGGTATCACATACCTTGGCTCCATACTGTGGACCATGTAGCGGAAGCCTTGGTTTTCAACCACACTGTATGGCCTCATATCTTTAGCTATAAAATAAGATATCGACGTTGTGATTTTCTTAGCTCTCTCCGAGCCCGGGGCCAACTTTGTTGTCATATCGTGGAGAGTGCGCTGATTCGGTGGGATGACGGGCTTCAGGCGGTCGTCTTTAACCCACACTGCCTCCTCTGGATGAAAGCGGGAAATGTGGGCCCTCAAGTTGCTCGTATTGCCGCAGTTCTTCAGTTTAGTGTGGCAATGTCGACAGACGGCATGCGTTCTATCTACATGTTTAGAGCTCCTGCCATGAAAACCAAAATGAATCCACACGCTTGCTTTGAGCCCAGATGGAGCTGGGTGGATCGTTAGTGGTTCTTCCATTTTACGTTACACACCTGCTGTCGAACTCGCTCTGGCTGCCGTTATGAGTTTGCCGCGCTAGCTAACTGGAACTGGGCGCGTTCGTGACGTTCAACTTCCGGTATAACATTTTTTACTAAATAAAATAATGCAAAACATTTTTTTTTTTTTATAATAAAAAATCGATTTTTGAAAATGTAATAATCGATTCATACTCGTCCATAACATACTCGCGATTAATCAATAATCGATTTTTTTCACCACCCCTATAGCATATATATATGAATACAGGATTCATTTCTCCTCCTTGGTTAGAATTCAGAGAGAGAGAGAGAGAGAGAGAGAGACATACTTCTCTGACATTCCTGGTGCGGTCGTAAATGCTGTTATCTAAGAACCCCAGGCTCTGACAGTATGTTAAGTTTTGGTTCTTACTGTCCCAAAAAGCTGGTGCACATAGAATCATAACTTTTACTGTAATTTCTTGTATCTGATTAATTCCGCTGGATCATGAGAATTAAAACAAGACCAAGAACGATGTATAACAATACTGGGAATAGACAGTTAAATGTAAAAATGCATAATGATAAAGTCACAGTTATTCCTATGTGACATGGGCAAATGGACACACATAAAAACACGTCAAATATATCTGGTTGAATGTCTTTTAAAGAAAAGAAGTTCCTTTGGGACATTCCAAAAATGTCATAAAATGTCTTAATGTCTTGTAAGCGGACACCACGCTCTGTCCTGAGTGTGGGTGTCAGCTGTGGGGGAGGTGTGTGTGTGTGTGTGTGTGTGTGTGTGTGTGTGTGTGTGTGTGTGTGTGTGTGTGTGTGTGTGTCTGTGTCTGTGTGTGTGTGTGTGTGTGTGTGTGTGTGTGTGTGTGTGTGTGTGTGTGTTTTTTCAAGTTCCAGGCCTTTTGGGGCTAAAGGCTTTGGGATTTTAGCACGAAGGTATTTAGTTATTCAGATTCACCCTGGCCCAGTCCTTACAGTGGGAAGCTGAAGGGAAAGGCTCTCTCCAAGCAAAGGCTGTCTCACTGGATAGTGGACGCCATTGCTTTGACATACCAACAGCAAGGTCGACCGTGCCCCCTTGGTGTGACTGCCCACTCCACCTGGAGTGTGGCGTCCTCTTGGGCTCTAGCGCATGGCACCTCGCTAACAGACATCTGCAGAGCTGCAGGCTGGGCAACACCCAATACATTCGCCAGATTCTACAATCTCCGAGTGGAGCCAGTGTCCTCTCATGTACTCGCTTCAACCAGCTAGTACCGGACCCGCTTGCTCGCCATTCCACTCTACGGACTGGATACATGCGATATTCTCCTCAGGTGAGCTTCCCCGAAAGCCCTGACTTCCTCCAGCACTGCTGACGTCGGCGCCAGTGTCTATTGCCTGCGCGTCGGCTAGGTGCCTGCCGTGTGCATGGTCCCTCCTCTGAGCGACCCCCACATGTGTATTTCCACTGTAAGCCTCTCTGAAAATGTTTTCAATCTTCTTTACAGTTCTATTTATAGTATGCACAAGACAACAAATTCAGTGTATAAAATGAATGTGATTTTTATTCATTGTTTAAAACTTAAAGCATAACTCTGGCATTATTCAACCCATAGCCCTGTTGAGCAAGGTCACTGCTATTGATAGCTATTCCTTTACCTATCAATAGCTTGTGGTGACCTTGCTCAACAGGGCTATGGGTTGAATAAAAATCTTTAAAAAAAATCGTATAGGCCTAAACAAGTGATATAAAATTGATACTATAATATGTGAATCTTTGAAAGTACGTGTTTTTGTCTGTGAAAACTTACTAAAAATATTATACTAATAAACTTACGTTGTTGTGTATTTTCAAAAGCAATATGAAAAAAAAACTTTTATATTGATTAAATGGATTAATTGCATTTTGAATAAAAAAAATTGATTTATTGCATTTTGGGAAAAAATTGTCCGTTTTTATAATAAATCTTTGAAAATCGAAACCTGGATTTTATTTTATTTTTGTTATTATGACCTACAAATGCTATGTGAAAGTTTGAAACAGAAAATAGTGGTTTTCATCTTTCCACTTTCTTGGTAAAGAAAACAAATTTTTACTCAAATTAATCTAAATGGATTTATTGCGTTTTGGAACCAAACTCTTCATATCTGCATTCTGTCGGCTTCCTCCTTTTATACCCACGAGGAGGGGCGGAGTTGTGCCATGCAAATTCCGCAGACCCATGGCATTTCTTTGCCATTGGCTCGTTTTGTAATACTCGAAGTTGATAGGCTAAGCGAAACCTGTATTCGTCGTCATCCGACGGAACGTCTCTGTTCCCTACGCAGGGAACGAGGGTTACATCCGTAACCGAGACGTTTTCCGCATACAGACGACACCATTGTCAAAACGATCCCCATTCAACGGATCTGTGAAAACAACTAAAAAGGCTGTATTCTGCTGAAAGGCATTTAGATGGCGATGAAACACTCTATAGACTGAACAGGTAATGCACTTATGCATGACGTCATCGTCTTCAGAGATTCGCGTTTTTGTTGTTGGCACTGTGACCGTTTTCAAAAACTTGCACTTTGAAACCCGTTTTCAAAAGTTTGGGTTTTTAGGCACCCAAAACGCTGTTGCCATGTAAATGAAAGGCCAAAACGCTTAAAAAGTTTAAGTTTTAAGTTGAAACCGGTATCGGGTAAACAGCCCCTTACTTTCCTCAGCTCTTTGTTTGGTCTCATTTATGTGTAGTGGTTGCGTTCCCCTGTATTTCTCTGCGATCTCCTGAGTGCTATTAGTTTAAGTGTTAATAAAAGTTTTGCCAAAAAGGAGTGGTCAGTAATTCCAGTCTTACTTCCGTAACATTCATACATAACAATGTAACAAATTTGCATAATGCTAACCTATGGTCTTCATTGGCTAACAACGAAAAACATCTACTTTGACCCGCTCTCAAACACTGTAGTTGGTTTGTGTTGTGTACATGTCGAGAATAAGTTGTTTTCTGAGCTGCAAAGGCAAATTCTTTTTGCATACACTTCCACGATGAGGACGTGAAGAAACGGTAGTTCAAATTACAACAGCGGTATAACATTTTGTTGTGTTCCCGTCATTTTACTGACGATTGCTTCTCAAATCTCAGCAAGGTCAATGCGGGATTTGCAAAATGCTTATCCATTAAAGATGGGTCAGTACCAGTCTTGTGCCTGAAAGCGTTCATATTTTGGGCAAACGTGAACTGAACGTACTGAATTACTGCCTGATAAACGTTACTGTGAACGCGTTAATTCTGGTGTCTGTGAACGCACGCTCTCCCAGTTTAACTTCGTTCAATAGGGTGCCAGATTTCTATATAGCCTTCCAGGCGAAAACCTGGCTAAAACACACCGTAAACAGGCCTTAATATGTAGCGGAAAAAACACCCAATCTGGCAACACCAGCCACCAGTGTCGCATGCACCAACGCATGCGTCATCAAAACAAAAATCAGCATCGACAAAGCAGCGAAGGGCGTCGTATGATAAACGAGTTTTATGACAAGGTCGGTGAGGATGGGAAAAATCTTACATTTCTGTGCAAACCTTGCCTGTCGATAAAATAATTGCTGTCTGTGGTATATGGGCTGTGGCAATAATTTTTTTTTTTAAAGAAGAAGCTCGCAGCAACATATGGAAAAAAAGAACTATGAACTAGTTAATTTTTTGAAGTATGACCTATGAACTGAACTAGTTAATTTTAAAATTTGTGAACTGAACTTTGAACTACTAGTTCATGTAGAAAATGAACTTTCCCAACACTGGTCAGTACCCAGTTTATTTGGACCAACTTGCTCCTCTGAATCACAACCTGTAAATATAATTAAAGGGGTGGTTGATTAGGATTTCACTTTTTTAACTTTAGTTAGTGTGTAATGTTTCTGTTTGAGCATAAACAACATCTGCAAAGTTACAACGCTCAAAGTTCAAAGCAAAGCAATTTGCTTTTAAAGAAAAGGACTAGAACAATCCCTAAAATGTACATACACCCCGCCCCCCGAGAACACGGTCAGTCCATGTTGAGAAGAGGTAAAAGAAGCTCTGACCTCTGTGCCGGGTGCAGCAGTTCATTTGCATTTAAAGGGACACACACAAAACGATGCGTTTTTGCTCACCCTCAAAAAGGGACAAATTTAAAGCAACACTAAGTAAGAATTTTTACCTTAAAATAATGCTTTCAAAATCGTTTCAGTGGTTCATCAAGTCGTGACATGGTGAAATGCACTTATGCCACCGCTTTGCGGTCCTTTATCGGATATATCCACGCTATGTAAGATTGCCAGATCGGGTCGCGTTTCTGTAGTGCGAATGAGACCTAAGAAAACTACAAGTTTGACTTGCTTTACGGCAAGCGTTACAATTGCCGATAGGTGGAGCGTACTCGACAGTAGACTACAACTACACTTTCATAAAATCATGCATCATACTCTATCTTGTCTGTGCCCATTGTTGATTCCAAAGCCGGTGCTGGATAAACGGAGAGCATGTGCGTGCTCGTGCGACAGTTGGATGCGGTAGGTTAAATTATTTATGACAGCAGTAATGGACAATTCCGCTTCCAACCTGTAGGGCGACCGCAGAGGAAAAGTAATTTGGTGTTGCTTTAACCCTCTGGGGTCCAAGGTGTTTTTTGGGTCCTTGAGATGTTTTGACATACTCTGACATTTGTGCTTTTTTCAGTTGCTTATAAACATATTACTGGCAAAGGTTAATTACACTCTATTTAGCACACACAGGGCTACCATAATGTGTTATCAACATGTATGTACATTTTTGTATTTTTGAGAGAATATTGTTTATGCGTGGTTACTGAAAAAACTAAAACTTAGCCTAAAGTTTCTGAAATAAGGCCACAAAACACATACTAAATATCTGTCCACAAGACTTTTGACTAATGGATGTTGTCGCCTAGAGTTTTTTCTTCAAAATGATCTGAAAATCATCCTGCCTTATCATTCCGTAAAACAATAGATTGGTTTAAATTTAAAAATGACACTTT